GCGTGGCCGTTCACCTCTGGTTCATGTTGCCTCCGACCGCCTCCGTGGCCGACGCCCTCGACAGATACGAAGCCGCTTTCCAGGTGAGCTGCTGCCTCTCACTCTGCAGTCTTTCTTTTCACATAGTGTTTGTACTTCAGCAAACTTCTCTTTATTCTTTTCACTTCACTTCTTTCACCTGTGTCTGATGGATTAAAGCTAAAATCAACACACACAGAATTTAGTGACCTTCTCCTCCTGTTCATCCTGCAGGGCTCATGTGAGGGGGGGAAGTACGCCTGTGCCCCCATGCCTCCGTACCTGGAGGCGGAGCAGCCGGACATGGACGAGGAGGAGGAGGAAGAGTCTAAACGGCCGCTGTACGACCTGTGCTTCCACCTGCTCAAACTCTACAGTGACAGGTGAAGCAGCCGTCACTCACCTGTCAGCAGCACAAACAGGAGCATGTTGGTCCACATGGACCTAATAAACTGAACGTATATGAGCTGTAGCTCACAGCACTGTGATGCCATCTAGTGGCAGAATCATAAGATCTGTGCAGCAGAGGATTAGTTTGTACCAGACTCCACAATCACTGGATCCTATTAAAGCTGAAACAGTCGATTGATTAGTCGTCTGACAGATCACAAGCAATAATTCTGATAAACAATTAAATTATCTTACGAGCAAAAGGACCAAAAGAAGTTCTGTGGTTTCTTTTTGTTTTTGACTTTTCATCCACTAAAACAACAAATCTGAAGGAATCTCAGGAACCTTGTGAAGCCTTTATATTCTGACATTTTAATTCAGTTTCAATTCTAAATACTTTATTGGTTCCTTAAGGGCCAATTTGAGGCAAACAAAGTAAACGTAGACAGCGCCACTCTTTCATGGGCCAAACGATTAATCAGTTTATCAAGGAAGTAACAGTAAGTTGCAGCTGTAGCTGCTACATTTCACTTTATGCTAATGCAGCTTAATCTTCCCACACCTTCAGTTTGTAACAGACAGTTTTAAATCTGACACTGATGAGTAAGATCACCTGTGTGTGCAGACACTACAGCTTGCAGCAGCTGTTGGACCCTCTGACGATCACCTGGGAGCGTCTGGACTACCGTCTGAGCTGGCACCTGTGGGGCGTCCTGCAGGCGCTGCACTACAGCCACCTGAGCACCTCGCGGCAGGGACTCCTCCACGCCAGCTACGCCGCACAGCTGGAGAGCGCCGGCCTCTGGCACATGGCCGTCTTCATCCTACTGCACATCCCCGACCACATGTACGTCACATCTCTTCTGCAGTTACACACTCTGTGAAAATAAACGTTGCGTCAGATGATTCACTGGTGTGTGTCTCCCTGTCTTCAGTCAGCGGGAGCGAGCAGTGAGGGAGATGTTGACCCTCCACTGCCCCCTGCAGGAGACGGACGAGTCCGTCCGGAGGGAGCGCTTCCTGACCGAGAGGCTGCTGATCCCGGAGCAGTGGATCCACGAGGCCAAGGCCACCCGAGCCCGACGAGACGCCGACAGACACCAGGAGGCCCTGCACCTGTACCGGGCCGGATACTGGAGCCAGTGTCACCGGCTGCTGATCCAACATCTGGCCTCAGGTGGGTCCTGGGTTTTTAATCATTCACATAAACACATAGACCTGCAGCCACATGTACTAAGTGATGGTTTAGTTAGTTTCTAATTGTCCAAGTCAACACTGAAGATTTCCCTGATTTGGAAAAATTGAAAACAAAAATGAGGAGCTTCTTGGGAAAATACAATCTGATATCAGCTGTCAAATAAAAGCAAAAATGAGTTGAAGAAAGAAAAGATACTTAAACACAGAAGAGAACTGGGTTCAAGTTCTGGAAAAGCTTTTGAATTTAAAACTGTTTGGGCTGTTGGGAGTCCAGAGAGATTATTAGATTTTATTATTTAACGTATTCATGGTTCCTCCTGCAGAATGCATCATCAACGACAATCACGACTACCTGCTGGAGTTCCTGGAGGGGCTGGCGGTCCCTGAACACAGCACCACCATCCAGGACTGGGACACTGCAGGGAGAGTTTACCTGGACTACATAAGAGTCATAAAGACTCTGCAGGACATCCAGCAGGTACTGACACTGTGTTTTCTCTATGTCGAAATTGTTTTTTATGTAAAATCTAAATCTGTGAAGTAACTAATAATTAAAATTACAAATTTCTCTCTGGAATTTAGTGAAGAAGTGAAAAGTAGCATTTTAAAGCTGTCCTTAAACGCAGCACCGATGTGACGCAAGGAGATGGCTTGTGTTGACGTTTGTGTTTCCGTCCTCGCTGACAGATGGAAAACGCCGGCTACGAGCTGGAGCGTCTCTACAGCGATGTCACGTCTCTCTGCAGCAGAATCGAACTTCTGCCCTGCAGCACCGCCAGAGACCGCCTCGCCCAATCAGGTAAGAGCTTCTCAACCATCGGGTTTAAGCAGCGACACGAGGCTGATGTCCAGAAGACTCTGCTACTTTTCCCTCTGACTGAACACAACAGCAGCTGGATTCACAAGCATACCTGTCCTCTGATTGGCTGAAGTTGGTCTGAGACTCATGTATATAATTCATATGATTCAGTGCGACTTCCACACATATCATTATCTTCAACATCCATCAACCTGCTTAGAAATCATAGAAGAAGAGATGCTCAGCTGTTAATGAGACAGTTCGACTGCGTGGAAACAAATACAGGCTAAAAACAACAGGTCACAAGTGAAAAATCCTCTGCAATAAGTTTATTTAAAATAACATATGTGTTGTGTTTATCTAAGAGAGGGGGGAGGGAGGGAGGAGGGTCTGGTAGGTGAGTAGCTGCTCTCAGAGGAGGGAGGCGTTCAGGCGAGTCAGGGATTCTGGCGACTGATCTGCGTTCAGAAACTCGTTCAGCACCGAGGAGGCGATGAACAAGTCGTTCATCTGAAGATCATAGTGAAAGAGACGACTGAATGAGGGAGGAGGGAAGGTGAGTGACGTCTTAGTGCAGCTCTACAGGTGAGCAGCAGCTGTCAGCAATAATTTTATTCTCACAATATATCAAATGTGAAAACAGTTCAGGAGTCTGTGGCAGGGATGAACCTGCAGAGAATCGTTGACCTCCTCGTCTTCAGAGCCTCAGTGAGTTTCAGCTCAGTGTTTGTGTGTTTACTCTCACAGCTGTAAACAGCCTCAGTCCTCCACCTGCTCAGCAGGTGACACAAACACCACAAATCAATCAAATCAATCACCATGAGTGGAAACAAGAAACTGTTTAACAAGTTCAACAGAGCAACTTAAAGCTGACGAACTGTTAACGACGTTTCTGCTGAACATCGGTCAATCGGTGAGCGCAGGTTCAACAGGTGAAATCAGCTGTTGTGGTTTGGTGAGGGTGAAAACCTGCAGACGCTTCCATGACACTAAACCGCCGCTCTACCTTAACCGACCCCCGCCCCTCCTCCCTCCGTGCAGAAATGGCAAAGCGCGTGGCCAACATCCTGCGCGTGGTGCTGAGCCTGCAGCAGGGCGACGCCGCGTCCGACTCCCTCAGCATCCCACTCGCCCAGCTGGCGCCGCACATCACCCGCCTGCCGATGCCGGAGGACTACACGCTGGAGGAGCTGCGAGGCCTCACGCAGTCGTACCTGCGACAGCTCATCGTCAGCCAGTGAGAGCGCAGGACGGCAGACATGTTGTTACATCAGTGAAGGTGTGAAAAGTTGTTTAGGTGTTGTAACTGAGCTGCTCAGACATCATGAAATCCTGACGCAGAAACTTTTTCCAACAACAAAAAGGAGCAAAAAGAAAGAACTTGTAGTTTCTGAGTCTTCGACCGATCGAACCTGCAGCTGCTTCACTTCGGTTCTGGACGTCGTCTGTTTGAATGTTTGTAGAGAACGGGCACAAAGCTTCGACGTGTCATTCCTCACTGTGTGTGTGTGTGTGTGTGTGTGTGTGTGTGTGTGTGTGTGTGTGTGTGGATCCAGGGGAGCGTTTTAAAACATGATCAACAGTAAACGACACAGAGCGACTCAGAGATCAGACCAGTGACGTTCTGTCAGTTTTAAATCTCACATCTCACTTTACTTCAGTTGTTTTAGAGCAGTGGTTCCCAAACTAAGGTTGGGGCCCCCGACAGGGTGCATGGGGTCACAAGATGATTGACAGGAAAACAGAAAAAGTTTTGTTTCAACAAATCTTTATTTTTTCTGTTTTTTGAATTCCTGGATTATTTTACCTCAAAAAAATTATTTAAATATAAAACGAGAGCGGTAATCACTTTTCTGTAGAACCGGTTCTAACTGGTTAACTTGTTAACTCGTTGACTGGTTAACTTATTAACCGGTTAACTGGTTAGCTGAGACATTGTTTTGTTTAAAGGGTTCACAGGTGGAGAAGACTGAGAGTCACTGTTTCAGACATTTGAATCCACTGATTCTGCTGCGTCTTGGATTCTACTGGTTTCCATTTATTTCTGTTTGGTGTGGAAAGTCTTGAAACTTACTCATTACATTTATGAATAGAGCTGCAACTAATGATTGTTTTCTTTATAGATTAATCTGTTGATCATTTTCCTGATCAATCGATGACATGTTTAATCTATAAATGTTGAAAAGTGACAGGGACTTCTTCTCAATTTACTGTCTTATCAAACAGAAGCTTAAGCCAGAGAATATCAAGTAACTGAAACACTTAATTGATCATCCAGTATTAATTTTCTGTTGATTGATTAATCGAGAGCCACATTTGATTTTCACTTTGCAGAAATGAATAGAAACCAATAGACGTCTGCAGCAGGAGATAAAAACTGTCAGTGAAGACGTGAAGCATCTAAAACGTAGAAACACGCTGGTCTGGCTCTTCTTTTGAAATGATCAGCTGATCGCTTTATTTGTTGGCGTTGAGGAAAACATGGAGGTCGGATTAAAATTAGCTTCACACTCATTTTTCAGTTGTTTATTATTTTTGAAATGTTCCCCAAACACATCTCCTCTCCAACAACTGAGAGCTCGTTATGTTTTCATTCGTAGATTTGGTTTTATTATAAGTCAATAAAAACAGCCGTTAGCTTAGCATCTGTTCATCTGTCAATATGTGAATAAAGACGATCTATGGTAATATTAAAGAGCGGCGACGTTGTATAAACGGGTTCGATGTGCACAAAGACGACTCAGAGGAAAACTCAACATGCAAAGTGTAAAATGCCGAATGGTCTATTTTTGTAGATTTCTTGTTTTTCTGTTTGGTTTGAATGTAAATCGAACGTGTGTGTAACCAGACTTAAACAACAACAAACAAACAAGTGGTTGTTTTTTTTTTTTGTTTGTTTTTTTAGTAGCACTTCATCTGAGTTCTTGTTTTCTACAGTGAAGCGTTTCCTTCCAAACGAGTCGCCAACCAGAGATTTCACTGCATGTAATTATATAAATATTGTATATTTTTGAAAATCAAACAGGGAACATCAGGTCATTTTTATCCTCCACCTTTAATTCTTAATAAATTGGATGCATAATGCTTTGGAAAGAAACCCTTCACTTATTGATCAGTTGATTGATTGGTCATTTTGCTTTTGGTTGTCAGTTTGCCAAGAATGTTTTTTGTTTGTTTTTCTTGTTTTTTCAAAGTAAAATCAGTTTCACTGTTTCTGGACAGGACGCTCCACATGATGTCTGTTATTTCTCCTGTTAAACACAAACTGTGTGTGTATGTATTTTACATGGATGGATACTGCTTTGTGTGTGTGTGTGTGTGTGTGTGTGTGTGCGCGCGCGCATGTTTACTGATGATTTTGTTGATAATATTTTTTAATAAAGTCAAGTAGAAATAAAGAGACATTTGTTCTTTATTTTTCATGTTGTTTCTGGATCTAAAGTCTGTCACTCGAGTCCTCGGTAGACGTCGGCACAGGAACGACCCGGCGCCATCAGTGTGTGTTCTGAGTTAGAGATGTGAACTTCACCGCTGTGTTTTTCACTATTGTTGTATTTTATTCTTTTGTTTGTTACGTTGTCTTATTTTTCGAAAGCAGATGTTTCAATCAGACACCGTTGAAGTGTGTCAGATTCTCAACAGGGTACAAATAAAAGTTAAAGGGAAAATGATCGAACAAACTGATGGTCGTTCTGAACTATTTCATTCAAACTCAGTTTTCTTTCTTCGAAATAACCCAGGATGCATCTGGCAGCTTTGTTCTGATGAGGGAAGTAGGCCGATGACCAGGCGGTCTGAAATAACTGCTCGCACTAAATCTTCTAACAGCATCTTGATGCTGCCACTGATTTTTAATCTGCCATTGGTTTAATTTCTGGTCTAATCTCCAGGTGCAAGAAGGGACTTTGAGTTCTTGACTTTGGTTCCTTTGATCTCAGCTCAGCCACCAAAACCACCTGCAAATACCAACTCAGTTCAGACAAGGAGTTCAGACCAGTCGGAGTGTTTGCGCCGTGTCTCTTTATTTATGAACAACAAACCTTAAAGCAGAGGGATACCCCACCTCTGCAAATGTAAATGCAACCAAAACCATTTCAAATAGAAAAGCACCCTAACAAAGCAGATGCACTGCTCTGGTAACCACAATGGGAAGGTTACATTTAAAAAATGTATGAAGATGTTAACGATGTTTCTCTTCCACAGATACACGTCATTCTTACAGCCTCTTAATCTCTTTTATTTTATTTCCTTGTAATTTCACTTCTGCAAAGAGCGGCAACATCTCTTTAAAATCATCCTCCGATTTAAAGCCCAATGCGTCTGCCAGAAGTCGAGATGTCACAAACAAGGTCTTCGTCTGCTGGTTGACCTCCGCCACCAGGTGAATGTTTGTCTTATTGGATTTTAAGATTGTTATGATCTTGATCCACGCATTCACGACAGGAGCACTTTCCGCCTGCACAAAGACAGATTGACAGTCAAGGTTTGGGACATCGTGTATTGTATGAATAATAACAAATAATTGTTGTAATCCATATCTCAGCCCTGACCGTGAACGAATCCATCTGTACAGGGAAAACATGGAGGGATCAAACAGGCCGTGGTTTTCTTATGAACTGAGCAGATGTGTGATCAACTTTACGTGCTTTTATAGATGTTTAAATTGAACCTTGAATTGTCTCAGTCTACTAGCAAACTAAACAACAAACAGGTGAGTAGAGAGGAAAAGCAAACACTCAGACATCAGTTACCTTGGGAACATCGGTGCATCCAGTTGGCTCCAGGGATGAACTTTGTTCCTCTGTCTTTATCTGTTTGGGCTTCACTGCTCCGGCAGCATCAACCTGAACGAACCAAACCACCACAACATAATTAATGCCCTGTTGGAAATAATGCCTCCAATGAACTCATGAATTCACAAGCTTAATTACAGACAGTGGATCACGTAACTAAATGTAAAAATGTTCTTTTGAGCTATGAACATGAAAACTACACATATATCTGATATAATCAGACACCTTTTCCCTCCTTTGTCATTTCATGATGTTCTGAATGTCCTGAATATTTTCAGGAAGCACAGAGCAATAAAGATGGTTGTAGCCTCCGTGACGTCACCCACAGGTTTCTGAAGAGCAGTGCTGCTGCACTGTCGTCATCTTGGCAGTGCCTGACTTGGCCCCTAACTCCTGGCTAATCATCTCACTTTTGGAGAAAGCCTTAAGTGGTCTTTAGAGGAAGTTTGCCCCCCCCCCCCTCCCCCCCTCCAAAAGCCCAGAGAAGCTGTGAACACTGTTGTAACCACAGTAACGATGAAATTTCTGGTTCTGCCGTAACGATTCGAGACTGAGTCTGATACTGAAAGTCGGGGAGAAGAAGGCGACAGACCCGAACCACCTTTGCAACCAGAGCAGAACATCTCACATTGGTAAGTTTTTATTTTGTGGCTCTTATATTACAGAGGCAACGTTATAAGTGTTAAAGTAGCTGGTTGCCAGGCGTCATGTGGATGTTTTACATAGTCACAGATAAGTTACGGAAGAAAAGCCAGAATACAAACGAGGCACTGAAGGCACTTGAGGGTCGGTGTTTTCTGTCGGAGAGAATAACTTCCTTTGGGCTTTGTCACTCAGCTGAACTTAAAGAAACTATATAACTGAAGAAAAGGGAAAAACCTAAAAAAAAACATGAGAACTTTAATTTATGTTTATAAACCACCACCTTGTGATCTGCTGTCTAAACCGCAGCAGGACTCTGGATGTGAACCCGGTCTTTGGTCTGACAGTCCTGCACTTTATATTTCGCCCCCGCTTTATGTCCAGGGTCGGACTAACTCTATTAAAGCTCGCTGCCTTGTCACAACCCACAGATACAAGAAAACATTTTTCACCTTCCTCTTCGTTAAGAGCTGAGCAGGATTCAGCGCCGCTGTCCCAGCTGCAGCGTTTGCACCGAGGTCACTGCCGCCTCTCTGGGGGGGTTTCTGATCCAGAATACAAAAGGAGAGCATTTAAAAAAACAAACATATTATCGAGTATTCTTCATTAACGTATCACTCTTACCTTGTCAGGTTTGCCGAACTTCTGGTGATCTGTAAAAGAAGAAACACGTCACTGCTGAATGTTCTGAGGTAAATCTGAAAACTTGAAACTAAACGTTTTGAATATGAGTCGATCTCAAACATCATGATGCTTGATGGTTAATTACTGTCGTATGATTTTGCAGATTAATGACTTTTTACCAGCTTCACTCTCTACACATTTAAAACTGCTGGCTGACAACACGAGAAGACGGGACGGGCCTCACTGTCACATGATGCTGTGCAGTAATTATGACCTCACAGCTCAGTGGGAGGAGCTGATGAAGAGACCAGGAAGCTCGTTTAATCTGCAGCATTTCCCTTCCACCCTGGAGATCAGCGTTCTATATTCAAGTGTTTTATCATTATAGGAAGGAACAGAGGTGTGCGCGTAGTATAGATGTGTGTGTGTGTGTGTGTGCTGTGTGTGGTTGTGTTGTGTGGTTGCTTATGTATGTGTGTTGTGTATTAGATGTGTGTGTGTTGTTGTGGCGAGTGTGTGTTGTTGACTACCAAGCTGCCAGTCTCTTCTTTCTTAACTAACCCTGAGGCCTGCCTGCAGGGTTTTGGTCGATCTTACTGTTAAAAAAGCATTTAAAAAGTGAAACAGTTAAACGTGACTTTGTGTGTGTAGTGTTTCTGTGCGTGGTGTAGTGTGTTGTGTGTGTGGTGTGTGTGTGTGTGTGTGTGTGTGTGTGTGTGTGTGTGTGTTGTGTGCGGAGTTGTGTGTGTGTTGTTGACCTACCAGCTGCAGTTTCTTTTTCTTAACTAACCCTTGAGGCTCCTGCAGGTTTGGTCGTTCTTACTCGTGACAAAGACCATTTTAAAAAAGTTTTGAACCAGTTTTTAAAACGTCGTGTGTTGGATGTGTTTGTGTGTGTGTGTGTGTGTGTGTGTGTGTGTGTGTGTGTGTGTTGACCTACCAGCTGCAGTTCCTTCTTTCTTAACTAACCCTGAGGCTCCTGCAGGTTTGGTTGTCTTACCTGAAAAAGACATTTTAAAAGTTAAACGTGCATGTCATCAGTTCAGTGTGTGTGTGTGTGTGTGTTGACCTACCAGCTGCAGTTCCTGCAGGTTTGGTCGTCTTACCTGAAAAAGACATTTTAAAAAGTGAAACAGTTTGAAAATGGCAGAGTGTTTTCTCTGCGGAGAGCGGCAGTGTTTAAATGTCTTTTCATATACACTGCTCGACAGGAATAAAACACTACTACCAGAGATGGTGGTCATTTCAACCCAGAGGAGGGACTGTGCAAGTTTTAGGCACTGAAAGTAAAGTGAGGGTACAGGAAAGAGTGAAAGCCTAAATGAGACCAGTATTTGCTGTGACTCCGCTTTGCCTTTAAACCAGGGTCAGTTCTCCTTCGTACACCTGCTCAGGTTCTTGTCTGGTAGGTTTTTCCAGCATCTTGTAGAACCTGGCTCAGTTCTCCTGTCTCCTCATGTGATCCAGACCGACTCCATGATGCTGGATCAGGTCTCTGTGGGGGTCAGACCATCTGTTGCAGGACTCCTGGTCTCTGAAGTTAGTTCTTTATGACTCTGGCTGTGTGTTTGGACTCTGGACGTCTCCTGATGATGGAGAAGAATCTAAACATCTAAAGGTCCTAAAACCTCTGCACAGTCCTGTCTGTTTATTTCATATTTGTTTAGTCAACTTTGGAAAGATTTGTTTTGACTTTGACAATAAGTGTCAGAAATCCCAGTTTCATTCTCTGTGATTTAATGTTTAAAATTAATCATGAATAAAAATAAGGGGTGTGAAGAGTCGGTGACCCGTCACTGTGAACTCACTCTTGTTCTTTTTCTGGTTGTTTTTCTTCAGTTTGTCCACAAAGGGGCGCAGTGGGCCCTGGACTTTACAGTCCATCCGAGGCAGCTGCTCCATTTCTTTCTTTATAACAGTGATGGATTTTTCTGTTCCATAGTACTGGATGATTATCTGGGGCATTTCTTCTCTGGTCTTGGCATACTTCACACCCGTGGGTATTTTGTCCAAAGAGAATAGCAACTTGTTGTATTCGTTCTCTCTCAGTTCCTCCAGGATGGAGTTCAGGGCTGTCGTCCACCTTCTTTCAAAATCATTCAAAGACATCTGTGACACAAAGAGACAAATGAGAAGAAGTTTTTCAAATGAAAGACACCTGAAGGCATTGATGACATAAAGAGTGATAAGACTAATGCCATCAAACATCAGTGGTGGCTTGACCCAGCCATCATGTACATAAGGTAAACTACTGTGTGTTATTTCATCATTCTTCCTGCTTTTCATGCAAAAACTCCCAACAATAATACGATCTGTTTACATTTGGGAAATCAATTATTCACACCTTTACCAAACTGTATTCACCAGACAGGATGTCCTCGCTACCTTGTGTAATTTTGAGACACAACAACTAACAGTTTTAAAAGAAAATCACCTGGTGCCTGACGATTGCTTCTCCAACACTACAGATATCTGAAGCATCAGAATGAATGAAAAACAAAAAGAATGAATCCACTGATACAGTGAGTCGACTGATGATTCGTCATCATCGTTTGTCAAACCCTAACCCAGCTTTAAATTGTTTATAACCAAAGCTTTACTTTTATCAACCACCTCCACCTTAATGTAAGTCAGTCAACAATCATAACCTGTGCAAGGCACATTCTGCCTGGAGAACACACAGCACACACATGGATATAACTGAATATGAAGGACACAGTAAATGTAGAGCTGTGGGCATGGAATGAGGCTTATGAAGGTATTTGATCATTTGATCTTATGACTTGATTTTAATATCTGTTCTGTGTTTTCTGACAAAAGGCAGAACTGAACCTCACGAATCATTCAGTCAACAGACTTCCTGTTGAATCTTCCTGTGTGCAGAGTCGAACAGTACATGAATAAAAACTGAGCCACATGCATCCCTCACTTTTCATCTTTCAGTTTAATCCTCTGGAGCCAACAGTGAGTCAATGTTAAAACAATATCACACACACCGACAAACAAACAACCGCTCTCCTCCCAGTGATTAAATATCAGCAATAAAGTAAATCAATCAATCAATACTCACTTTTTTTTTTCTTCAACCACAGACTGTTTCTGTCTTCGAGGTTTATTGCTACTTGGCAGATGGAGAGGCTCTCAACGCCTTCCTGTTACGGTGAGTGGCAGATCAGATACCAACAGTAATGTTTCCTCAGCCTGTGTGCCGTCCTAGTTGTCCAACATAAATGCTAAAATTTAAATATGGAGAGAATATAAATGTCAACAATTATTTGAGTTTGTCCAAATTTGACTGTTAATCCTCATAGCATCTGCCCCCCCCCCCCCCCCCCCCCACTGCAGTGAACAATGGTTTAGCCCATTTCCCGGCCAAAAGTAGAGACATTGATACTTTCAGTTTCATGTTTTGTGAAAAGGGAGTAACTGCAGTTTATGTTCTGTGCTGTCGGTTGTGAGCAGCTGAACAACAGGGTTCATCGTTTAGACCTGAATCATTTATGTTTTTTTACTTATGTAAAATAATAAAATATCACACGATACAGGTATTACACTTAAAATTTTATTCAAGTATAGACATGTAAGCAATACAATGCATCAGAAGTAAACATTTAATGCAGAATGGACCTTTGTACATGTTCTAACAAAAACCTGATTAAACATAAAAAATACAAAACAAATATATAAAAACAGAAAATGTTTCAGACCTGAAATACTAAAAAAAAAACAGTATAATCAGTTACACAATATTATGATTGTGACTTTATGGTGAATCTTAAAAGAAATTTTTCATAGATGTATTAAAAGAATAAACCATCAAAACCGTCAAGGAAAGCTAAAAACAAGTTTTGCATCAAAGTGCATCAAAAACAGACAAATATAATCATAATGACAAACAGTATATGTGGAAATAAAACAAACAAAGTTTAACCACAGTTTAACAAACAATGAATCTGATAAAAATAAAAACAGGTTAAACATAATTAAAATCTTGAAAATAAAAGTATCTCAAAGGAAAGTTTCTGACATCTGGTGGATCGATGACATGAAGATCTAATTGGTTGAGAGCAGAGGAGGAACTACCCAGTATGAGGTGATGTTCCTAATAAAGTGCTCAGTGAGTGTAGGTATCCATAAAACCAGAATGGCACATACCTCCAGATTATTACATGATTATTGTCTGGATACGTCTGATCAAAACATTGTTTTCTGACAAAATGTTAAGAAATGTTAAGAAAAGTGATAAAAATATTTCACCAGATTACCACCACAATTTAATGCTCTTTTCCTAGGCCCCTCCCCCATCCCTCCACCAAGTTTACTGGAAATTGTTTTTGTAATTTTTGTGTCAACCTGCTGACAAATAAACAAACCAACAGACACAAGTGAAAAATAATCTCATTAATTAAAATTAAATGCAGAAGAGGAAAAGTCCTTGTCTAGTATCCTGACATTGTACCAGCAGGTTTTCTGCCTCTGACTGTTTGCACATCTTCAGTTACTAATAAACAGGAAACCGTCCACTCTGAATAATGAAAGTTATTTTTACATCTTTTCAGCAGCTGTGATTTTATTAATCTTGCTTCCTTGTAATACTACATCTGCTGAGAAGGGCATGTTCTGAAGGAGCCTTTCCTCAAAGTCCCCCTCCAGTCTGACACCAACCGCCTTTGCCAGGAGTTTAGACTCCACAAAGAATGTCTCCACCTGGCCGTTAATCTCTGCCTCCAGGTGAGTCTCCATCTTGTTGGTGGCTGTGATTCCTATAATCTTGAACGTCACGTTCTGGACTTCAGCATTTTGGATCTGGACAAAGACAGATTGACAGTTGCAGTCACTCATGAACGTAGCAGGGAGGAGGGTGTAATGTTTGTGTGGTGAATCAGTGTCTCGTCTCATGGGGACTAGGACATGGTAGTGATGTGAATAACGGCTCTTAGAAAGGAGCTTTCTGAGAGCCGTTCAAAGATCAGCGTTCCTTTTACTTTTTGTCTGAACAGAAACAGCAAGGCAGCGCTGTCGGTGTGAATGTCAGTGTAAATCATTGTTCAGCCAGATGTTGGTGTTTCGTCATTGACCACTGCTCTTTCAACATTAACTGAGTGCAGCTCTTTCCGAATGTATCACGTGCTGAACGTAATATTCCTATAACAATGTGACCACAACTCTGCACACCCATAAGTCCTTACATGGTTTTTACCTGACCTTGCTTTTTAGTGGGCGGGGTTACAAGGTTTACCTGTTAAATAATCGGGGTGTGAAATTTGGGCACAAAAGGGCGTCTGTCATAGTTGGTCTGGTCATCAGGTGCACCGGGAATCACATTAGCATCAGTAGAACAGTGTGTAGAGTTTGATAACGGATACCTTCAAAATTCTGGTGTAATCAGTTGAGTTCAGCGACACCATGTCATAGTAGACACTGGTCTTCACGTTGGTCACTCGGACAAAGTCTCCATGTGATTTATCTCTGAACTGCTGGATGTCTTTGCCCCACAGGGTGATCCTGATGGAATCAGTGTCGTCTTTAAGGATGAAGTCTCGCTTCTCTTTCTTCCCCCGTTTGGTTTTCAGTTTGACGTGTTCAACAGGATCGATCTGAGCAACACCACAAGATTCAAACAAAATTAGAAACAGCAGCTACATGGCTCTCAGCTGTCGTGTTACTGGATGGTTTTCACATTTCATGTTACATACAGCTGATTGACTTGTCTTTGATATATAAATGCACGCACCAAATAAAAGAATGAACCTGAAAACCCGGGGCCTGTTGCGCTAAACCCTTCAAGTACACCTTTAATTTGTCCTTAGCTGAGGGAGCTGCGTGAGGGTGGGGTTACCTTAAGGAAAACGTTACAGGCCCTGTGTTTTACTTATTCTGTCGGCCCAAGCGAGATATGTAGAGAGGTCCGCCCCGGCTCTGATAGCATTTGATAGCTTGTTCCACCACTGTGGAACCACAGACCAGAAAAGTCTGGACTGTATTCTGGACCATCTCTAAGGGTTTCACTGTCCGTGAAGTAAGGCCTGCCAGAGGGGCAATGCAGTAGTCGAGATGAGGGATGACCATGGCCTTGTTCAAGAGCTGGGTGGAGTACTGAGTCAGGTAAGGCCTGATTTTTCGTAAGATGAATACAACAGGGTCAGAGAAGGAGAGGTGGGAGGACTCAGCACTGCCTGTTTCCCTCTGCTGGGCCTGATGATCACTGAAAAACTTAACCTCAATACTGAGCTTCCACAGAAACGCTCAGCCAACACACCATATTTCTCAACAATATAAAAAACAAACTCACCTTTGTTACAGTTCCTTCAACGCTCACTAATGTTTTGGCATCAAATAATTTGGCCTTTGCGATGGAGCAAACAGGACTGTAGCGATAAATGAGCATCTGAGCTTCCACCTCCAGCTCCTCTGGAACATCAACAGGGGGCGTCCTCGACACTGTGCTGTCTTTAAACACTTTCATGTTGTTCTCATTAGTGTAATCACACATTTCCATTTTGTAATTTCTGAACATGTAGAAATTCTTTTCCGTGATTTTTTTAAAGCGTTCTTCTCCATAAACCATTGCTTTAATGCAGTTTGTCTCATCAGCAAGCGCCACATAAAAGAAGAACCTTTTCACCTTCTGTTTAGTTACATAGATACGCAGAGCAGATTTCTGCACAATTTTCCCAACTATGGGTTTTTGACAGAGGCCATCACTGTTCCTTAGATCATGGATGGTTTTCCTCTGGACACAAACAGAGAACAAAACAAATTCAATCATACAAGTCAAGACAAAGTCGAATGAGAAATAAATTAGAGATTTGAAGAAATCCACTCACCCAAGAGGGAATGTTCTCCTGGAAGAAGAACATCTCATTAATCATCAGCTACTCATAATGGAAGAGCTGATTTAATGTGCAAATGTGACATTTATATGTTAAAACATTTTTCTTTTTTTGGAAAGCTCAAGTTCAGATAACTGAGATATAATTAATTAGCTAGTTAGCATGCTAACTTCAGTAGAAGACAATAAGTGAAATAGGACCAAACAAGAGTTAACATTGGTGTTTGTTTCCACCTCTGGAGACAGATGTTGGTGAGTGAAGGAATGAAGTGTGATGCTGAACTCACAACATCTCTTCTAGAAACAGCTGCTAATGCTAACGTTAGCTATGAGGCAATAGAAAAAATTACAAAAGGTAATTTTAATACTAATTACTATACTACTAACTATACTAATTTCTTTTCAGTGCATAAATAGTACAGTATGAATGTGTATTTTAGGAACTATAGTCTTATAACTTATACTTTAATTATTACACATGAACAAACAGTGCGGTACTGTCCTACCGCATTATTACATGGATATAATATATGTGTTTATGATTTTCAGCTGCATGGCACCTCTAGGCAGAACATGTTGATAAATGTTGATAAATGTGGACATGGTCATAACTTTATGTGAGCATGCCATGTTTCCCCTGGCTGTCCCTGATTTTATCATACATACAGTTTCTATGTCACTGTGCTGTAAGGTGTATTCATCAGTAACCAGGTAACAGGTGTCCTACAAGTTACCCACCTTGTCAGATTTGCAGCTCTTCTGTTGATCTTTAAAAGAAGAAACAAACATCGGTCAGTGAGTTTCTTCACTTCATTCATTTTACTAAATGACTTCCACCAAACTTCGTTTGAGCTCATTCTGTCTTCGTTATCAGCTGCTCCATTTCATTGAAACGTGACAATACATTTAAATATATTTAGTACAGATTGTCTCAAAATACATGTCAGCTTGCATTTGGCTGTTATGGTAATTTTGTTAAAGGTGTCATGATGCAGATATTTATGAAGTCAATCTGTCCATCAGGTTTATGTTAGAGGTGTGTGTCCGTTAACCTACCAGCCTCTCGCTCCTCATCCGAGGAGTCTGAGTCACTTATGATACCGTTCTTCATAAACCCTGAAAATTAAATGTAAAAAGTTACACACACACTTTATGAACTTTTCCTCTTCCAGTCTACATCCCTGTACAGAAGCTTCCTCTGGTCAAGTGGTGGAAGAATAACTCCGGTCCATGTGGAGATCCACTCATTATATTATTATATTATAAACTGAATGTGATTCATCGTTGGGATTTACTAGTTTTTAATTATATAGTGCTGTTACTTTCTGTTTCTTATTTTACTTCCGATGTCACTCATTTAAAAATATATAGTATTTCGCAGTGAATGTCCTGTATTGTGCTATTTCTGTATTTTCTGTCGACTACGAGTTACTGAGCTTTGAGGTCTCCAGCCTCTGTGTTTGTGTTCTGTAGTTTTGGTGGCTCTGCTACTGACAAGACACAATTAAAACTGTTCACCATGGAAACACATGATGACCAGATGGGCTGTCCGCTTGGTGTCACCTCAGATACTTTGAGTCACTGAGTCACCTCTTGGCCTCGAGTGGCCATTTGAGGAACTCCATGTTGTGGCTTCAGGTTTCAGTCCTGGAGGTTTCCGGTCGTCGCAGCAGACACAGGTGGACCTCTGTGACTGTGTTTACCTACCGGCTGCAGCCTCTTTCTTGTTATCCTTTGAATCCAAGTCACTTTCGCATTTCCGCTTCTTCCCTGAAAATGACACAAAAGTGGAACACACTTATTGTTCAGCTCCAAAACAACTGAAAATCAACAGAAGCTGATTTCTTCTTTGATTAATTAACTGTCACACTCTCATTTAGTATTTTCAGAAATGACCAAGCAGCTTTTCTTTGTAGACAATTACTGGACTGTTGCTCAAAACCTGGACAAATGAGACCCAAACCATCTCTATAGACATATAACACTAGAGCCAGGAAAGAATACAACAGGTTCTTTTGTACTTTAAGTCAAACATAGGAAAACTTCTTACAACCTTGAAGCTTTATGTGCTTCTTTTACACTGATTACATCAGTTTGATCAAGTTTATTTTCCCAGTATGTTGGTTTACTTACCGTACATTTACAGTGTGTAACCACTGAAATGTTTTTTTCTATTTAACAAAAATTATTGCTATGATGTAAATCTATTTTTAGTGGACAAATACCAAGTAAAAAACCAGGGGGAGGAGTTTGTCCGCTTTGGGAGCCTCAGAATTTCCTCTCTGCTCTTTGCAGATGATGTGGTTCGTTTGGCTTCGTCAGGCCGAGACCTTCAGCACACGTTGGTGCAGCTTACAGCGTGTGAAACGTCTGGAGTCAACACCTCCAAGTCTGACTTTGCCCGAACACGGTGGATCTTGACAAAGACTGGAGCTTGTCAAGCGAAGACGACAGCAGCTTCAGTCGGAGGTTTGCACATTGAGGAAAATCCTGGGATCTTTGACACGTGGTTAGCTATAGCCAAAGTGTGCTTGTCAAGCTGTCCTTGACTCAGCCTTTGCTGCTCTGAGATCAGTTAGGCTCTGCTTGCTTAGTCATTGCACGCCACTGCTACCTAGTATTAATATGTCATTATAGCGGGAGTTGGAGTTTTTCTTTGAAGGGGTCTGAAGAGTTTCTGAATGCACTGGATAAACATGGTCAGCAGACACACTCACAGATCTGATGCCAGCTGTGACCACATGGTTTACACAACATTTACTGTGTGAACTCACCCTTCGTCTCTTTCTTCTGTTTCTTCCTCAGCTTCTTCACAAAGGTGTGCAGCGGGTCCTGGACTCTCGCATCCCGCCGCGGGATCAGATCCATTACATCAGCGATTGCAGAGATGGAACCCTCTAATCCGTAGTGCTCGATGATGATTTTGGGCATCTCTTCTCTGGACCTTTCAGTCTTCACACTTCTGGGGATTTTCTCCAACATTTCCAGCATCTTTGTGAACTGTTGTGACCTCAGTTCCTCCAGGATGAGGGTCAGGGTTTCTTTCCACTCTGTCTCTGAAATCATCTCTGACATCTGACACAGAGACGAGACGACAGAAGAGAAAGAAACAGTTCCTGCTTTAACCTTGTTTTCTTCTGTTACTTCAGACACAAACAACAACAAGATCCTGTCTGCTGTATATTATATATATATTATACACACTGTCATGTTAGTGGTGACTCTGAGACACACAACATGTGAACTGTCATTATAAACATGTATGAGAGGGACTGTCCAGCCTCCCTGACCCTCAGTACATTCATTCAGCTACAGTTTGAGGTACTTGTACTTTACTTCTACTGTAATGAACGTTTTTACTGCACTACACTGATCTGACAGCTGGAGTTACTGTGCAGATTATTTACATACATGTAGAAATAATGTGAAAATAATGTTAATCCAGACGTCACCAACACTTTTGTCATGTGACTTCGTATGTAAAATCTGTGTAATCAGTGTGTAGAGACCCTTAATGGGGCTCCATACATAAGACCACTTCCCCATCCACAGTATCTGATGGTGTTCACTTCATTTCCAGGAACTTTAATGGGGAGTGTAAATATATGTACGTATACATTAGCTGAAGTTTACTTTGTGCACCTTCCAAACTTTCATGTGATCGTCTGCTCCACAGAAACGAGCAGGACCAGAGGTGAAACAGTCAGTCGCCATTAACCATGAACAAGAGCAAAACAATCAGACTCTACATCTTTTCTCTCTCCTCTAATTCATGAGATGAAATATCTCGTTATTTTTCAAGAAGGAATTCACAATAAAGTTTTGAATCAATACTCACTTTGTCCTTTTCTTCACAGCCGGACTGTTTGTGTTTTCGTCTTTGCTCAGTCGTCACCAGTCAGAGCAGCTCAGCTAAAGAGGCGGGAAAAAAGGCACATTCAATCTGTTAACGTGATGCATGCTGGGCTTTTTTTTTCTTCTTCTTCTTGTTTTACAGCGGTTGGCTGCATCTTATTGACGCATTATCGCCACCTTCTGCTCAAATCCTACCGATACAATACCCCACAGACGATCCTTCCTGTGGCTGACTGAAGAGCGGCATGTAGATCGTCATGTCAGCTGTTTGTATGGAAACCCCTCACACTTGCTGGGGCTGAGGATCAACATGTTAACACCTCCACTTGTTTAGTTTCTTTCCACCCGTCGCAGTGCAACCAACTGACATCAACAACTTATTACATGTTCTTCTGTTTAGTCCAGTTCCTCTCGCTGGTCCTGAGCCCCGTCTCTCCTGCCTCAGGGTTCCTGGCACCATCTGTATGTGAGTAGATCACTGGTCTTTTGTTACACGACGGTTGGATGAACTTCACACCAGCGTCATGGAGCCACCGCCGGACGAGCTACTGAAGGACTCGTCGGTCTTCAACCTCTCCTGTGACAAGAGTAGTAACTGCAGTTTGTTGTGACAGTTCAGCCTCAGTCAGTGAAGGAAGACGTGAAACATTTAATCCTCAAACTGCAGTTCAGAAATATTGGCAACGAAATCTAACAAAAGGTTTAAGTGTTCAATTACTTCATGTTTCATATTACTGGATTATTACTGATGCACACATGTTGACACCATCCTGTAAGTGTGTCTGTTCCTTGTTCAACCTTAAGACAAATTTCCTCTCAGGGAAAATAAAGTTTATTTTATTATTTAAGAAAAAAAAAGTTAAACTAACAACAAACAGGTTTTTAATAAAGTTTAAGAGAAGCTGATGTCGGAGCAGGAAACACTAACTTAACTCAGAGATTAATAATATCACACAGACCATGTCTCCATTTAAACTGAATATCTGATCTCATCAGGATCAATAATCACTTTGTTTTCAAATGTACGAGACTTCAGACCAATCTTCTGTTTTACACACACACTTTATTGCAAAGGAACATCCACCATAACAGTTTTGTCACAGAAACACTTTGAGTTTGAGCTTGTGGCTTTAAAAACAAACATGTTCACACTTTAACTTTTTATTTATTCAGTGACGCGTCGACTTCAGCAGGTTCCACCGAGTTTCTTCTGCTCAGAAAATAAAGATTATAAACAGAGAAGATATAAAATGATGAAACTGACTCAGTCTGTTTAAACGTTTGTTTCCTGCTTCATCTGAAGATTAATTTATTTCTCATGTTTGAATCATTAATTTAAATCCAGGAAATAAATGTGACATGCAGGAGCTCTGAAGCCAAAGTGTCAAAGGAATGATGTAACACTTCATCCAACAACGTCAACAACAACAACAACAACAACAGGCGACAAACACATGGAAGGTTTCAACTTGAAAATAAATAAGTGGTGATGCCTGACCACCACCTGTAACGTAAACTGTGTGGACAGAGGACGACCTCCAGCCGCTGAGGTCAGAGGTCAGGCTCAGGTCCTCACTGCAGCTCCTTATGTGACCATGTACTCCTGACGCTTGTTGAGTCGGACCTGGCAGAGCGAGACGGCGCCCACCGCCACGTAGATGGCGGCGGCGATGAAGCAGTTGATGCCGACCTGGTTGTAGAGACTGTAGATGTTCTGAGGAGGATTTTTACTGCGGAGAGAAGAAGAGACGGATCAGGTCTTCACCCACAGACCAGATCACTTTAAACTAGAACCACATCAGTCCTGTGGTCCGGACCGATCTGGTGCTTATGGGATTTTATTGCATCATCGTTTCCCGGGCAACAAAGGATCCAACAGGTGGATCTCTGCAAGAACCAGTTCGTCAGTAACAGCTGCACACGTCCCCACACAAAAACACATTAACCCAATCTGTTACACAAACATTATGTTCAGGATCAATTAATTTGTCCGATATTTTAACAATTAACTGAAGAACTGTTTGTTTTATAAAACGTCAGAACATATCGACCAACAATCAGATCGTTTTGTCGAACCAACAGATTCAGTTACTGTCACACGAGACAAAGAGAAGCAGCTCAAACTGACCAGCTGGAACTTTGTTTGAAAAATGACTTCAAACAATTAATCGATATAAAAATAGTTGCCGATTGACTAATTGTTGCTGCTGTACAGAGATTATTTTCATTAACAATCAATCTGCTGATTATCCTGGAAAATTTGAAAATGCCAGTTCGATTTCTCCCGGTCCATCATCTCTTTGGATCTGGGCTCAGGTCTGGTTTTGTGCGAGCGACACTTCAGAACACAAAGAGATTCAGTTCACTGTCGAATCATCACATCTGATGAAAACTTTGTCATTTCTGCTTAAAAAATTACGAAAACAATTATTTGATTATCAGAAGCTGATTGATCTTCAGAAACACCTGCTGTTAGCTGTTAGTAACTCACTCGTTGCGAATGTCGTCCTCTGTGAAAGGGACGTCCTCGATCAGCACGGCCGACTTCGCGCTGAAGAAGATCCCCAGCATCGCCTGAAACACAGCGGGTCAACATGAGGCCCGGGGACACAGCAGAGGCCACAGGATGTGCAGCTGGGGACAGAACTGTCACAACTCTTTCAATCATAACCATAATGAGTCTGTGGTGGAGCTGATTATTTAATCAATTATAAATCTGTAATTAAATGTTTGTATTCTGTTTATAAAGTATAAAATAAAGTTACTGTTTCTCACCTCAGTGGTTTTAGTGATTTAGTGGCTGCTGTCAAACTGCAGGACAGTTTGTGAACATTTTTACAGATTCACTTCATTATTTGTACTCTGGTTTGAGAGTGTGGTGGTTACTGCTGCCAACAGTTGTGGTTTATTTTTTCTGACCTTACATTGTGGAAGTGGAAAAACTGACTTCCTGCTCTGGAACATCACATGAGGGTAAAAAGTCACATGACTCATTTGAGTTCCTCAATTAAAACAACAGAGGAAAATGTTTCTATCCAGTAAAAAGACTGAATAACAAGATCTTTGACTGGGATCACTTTCATACCACATATTTCTGGTTAAATGGCTCAGATTTCAGAAGTCAGTCTGTTTGTCAGTCACGTTCTGGTTGATAAGTTCCTGTTAGTAAAGTTAAAGACTCATTGTAACTGGACAGAGATATAATCATTCATTTGACTGGAAAACCAGACGTTAGCCACGTCCATAATGTTAATTACACAGGCACTGATTATTTTCTCCATTGATTGATCGATAGTTTTATCTATAACAAGATAATAGTGAAATATGTGTCTTATAATTCTGTACAATACATTCAAGTGGCTGATTTTATTTGACCAACAGTCTAAAACCAAACATTAACTTTACTATCGTATATGACAAATAAAAGCATCAAATTCTGACATTATTCGATTTTTCGACTGATGGTTACAGCTCTGCTATTGATTACTAGTGCAGTGGTATGTTCTAGCATACATTCAGTTTGGCCTACTTGGGCTCCGTCTATTAACCGGAGACCAATTCCAGTCCAAGGACTCCTTTGCGACAGCTGGTTTGTGTTTCATGGATTTCCGGGTCTCACGAGATTCAACAAAACCCGGTTAAAACGGTTATTTTCCGAAAACGTCCTGGTGAATATTTAAATTATTTAAAAGGATTTATTCCAGGAAATAGTCTGTACCAGAGATCGATATTTCTTACCAGCATGATGACCCCCCAGATGCTGATCACTATTCCGCAGGCGGCCATCTTCGGCCCGCAGAACAGAAGCGACGGCATGTCGGTGTCCGGTGTTTTTACTTTTAATTCTCCGAAATGAGAAACGTTTTTACCGTTCAACGACAGCCCGACCGATCCTCACGGTCAGCTGATCCTCATCACTCGGTTTCACTCGGAAGAGTTCGATCGCCGTCGTAACACTGCAGCGAGGCGACCAATGAAAATGTCGTATATGACTCGCTCCGCCTTTTCCGTTAAGGCTGACCAATGGTGTTCGACTTCCAAACTCGCGCAACGTTCCCTTCATCCCCTCTACCTTTGTTGTGTGATATTTACAATATTTTTCTCTGAACATGTGATTTATAAATGATTTAAAATATAATCGCGGCGCTGAATCGTATGTGTATCTGCCGAAGATTCTTTTTTTAAAATCTCGCCAGGTTCTCAATGGAAGCCCGCTAACGATAGCGCGCTAGCTAACGTTACAGAAGCTAACTTTAGCTAGCAGCTAGCTGTGTATGTTCGTGTTGTTTTGATTCAAGAACAAATCCAGAGAAAAAAAGCTTCAGCTCCTTCAACGAAATGACGTCAGCATCTGCTAAGGTGAGTTCTTACCTGAGTGTGGACTCTCTTATAAACCAGAGTGTGACCGGTGTGTGCATCAAAGTTAGAGAGCGGGTTACACAGCTGCCGCCAGACTTCATTCAGAAATCGGTGACTTTAACGCAGCTGCCGCTCACAGAAATATAGACTTCATAAAAAGTGCATTAGTTTTTCTCCTACATGAAAAGAATCTAGTGTTTGATTCGGCCAATAGCTGATACACCAAACACGGAGCAGAAGTGGAACATTCCTGTTTACTTTCTGTAATTTTCAGATGTGACGTGTGAACCCTCCCAGTGACGTCAGTAAGTCAGGCCTTCAAAACTCAACAAACGTACATTTGGAAGATTATTTTGACACTCAGACCAACTATTCAATTAGATGAGATGCCAAGGCTATAATGTTATTTTATGTTAATTAAATAAAGAAGGTGCAGCAGGTTGTTAACTTCATGATCCCACTGGGGAAGTTTCACATTCAGGAGGTCGAGTTCTCAAGGTCTCCATCGTTTGAATCCTTCAGGATGGATTTAATAAATACTTTGAGTTTATCCAAATTATAAATAATAAGAAATGTGCTGATACAGCAAGTGTTTTACAAGAGCTCTTCAAAGAAATCTGATTATTGTTAAGATTTTTGTGTTTTCTTACTTGCGTTTCATTTATTTATTGTTCAAAATTATGAGACACATATATGTGTATGTATATAATATAGTATACTAACGTATAGTACTAATATACTTAGTATATATATATATATATACTTAATATATATGTATATGTCATGTTATGCAACATTGAAATGTAGTACTCATAGCTGGGGAAAAAAAGCCATATAATGTTTGCCAGTTATATTATTATGATGCCTCTTTATTTGTTCATTATATATACACCATATTGTTATATTTTTTGCAATTAAACATTTTTCAATTAAAAAAAACAAAAAACAAACAAACATGTACATTTCAAGATTCATTTATTGATTCTGGAAAGACTGAAAGTTTCAAAACAACAGACGTGATTAACATTGAACAGAAAAATATTTTCACTTCACTTGAATTTAAGGAAAACAATTTATTCAATATTGTTAACCTGCTGATTTTACAAGGAAATTTCATATTCATAATGTGAAATTTCTTAAATCAGATCCCTCATTTAAGTTGTTTTTAATTGAACGTTAGTTTGAGTCTCTCAAATTTGTAACAAATAAGAAGTCCATGTCAGCAGTTCATGTCTATTCTGAAATGTTTGTCTGAAGAAGTCTGTCACTTAAAATATGTATTTGTCCTTTTTTAATCATTTTTTGTTTTTTTATTTTTATTTTATTTGCTTCTTTTAAGATTGAGATATTTAAGAACTAATATGTCTGATTGTAAAATTTCCAATTTCAATAGTAAAATAAAAAAAGATCTTCATTTTATAATGTGAACTGTCGTCACTTGAACTTTTAATGTTTCTGCTCTCATCACCTGATCTTCTTCTCTGCAGGTCGGGGAGATTTTCTCAGCAGCTGGAGCCGCCTTCACCAAACTGGGAGAGTTGACCATGCAGCTGCATCCGGTGTCCGACTCCAGCCCTGCAGGGTGAGACACACACACACACACACACACACACACACACACACACACACACACACACACACTCTGTTCAGTGTCAGTTGACTGTGTTTTCGTCCTCAGAGCCAAATGGACAGAGACGGAGATCGAGATGCTTCGATTGGCCGTCCGTCGATTCGGAGACGACCTGAACAACATCAGCACTGTGATCAAAGAGCGAACTGTGTAAGTTCACCTGTGTTAGAGGAACAGTTCACCTGTGAAGTGTTTTAAAGGGACTCAGGTGAAAATGGAGGTTTGGTTTTAACCCTCAACATGTTCATATATAATAGACAGATTCGTTGATCGTATAATAATACTTTCATGGAGAAATCCAGGTGAGTCAGGTGTGGCTGTGTTCTTCTTCTGCAGAGCTCAGATAAAGAGCACGGTGAAGAGGAAGTTGTACGAGGACAGCAGAGTCCCCATTTCCTCTGAGTCCCCGAAGAAGACCGTCAAGAAATCTGCTGCCGCCATGACGCCGGCGCCCACTCCCTCCGCCCCCGCCATGATCGCCGTGCCGACCTCGCAGGTTGTCGTGGCAACGGGTATGCAGAGCAGCCCCTCGCTGGCCCCGCCCATCAAGAAGCAGAAGACGGCAGGTGAGAAACGACAGGAAGTGACTCCTCCTTGCCCCGCCCTCCCTCCTCCTCCTCATCATCATCTTCCTCCTCTCCCTCCCCCTGCAGACGTGACCCTCAGCGCTCTGAACGACTCGGATGTGAACAGTGACCTGGTCGACATCGAAGGACTCGGCGACGGCTCGTCCAGCAAGAAGCTCAACTTTGACCAAGGTCAGTGTCACAGAGCTTGTTACCAGGTAACAGCCACTAAACATGATGACTGTGAGGAAGTTGTTCTCTTCACCTGATTGTAGCAGGTGTTTCTTCCACCTGTATTTATCCAACTTTCCGTCCAATCAGGTTTGTTCTGTTCTGTGAGGATCTGAAAGTAGAAACCCTGTCAGTCACACCTGAGGGGGTGTGGTCAGAGCAGCCTTAATGACTTCACTTTTACCTGTGGTTTCCTCAGAGAGCCTCAACCTGGACTCAAGCCTCATCATGAACTCCAGTGACCTCCCCCTCCTCTCCCGCTGACCTTTGACCTCCCAGAGGAAAGAGAGGGAGCAGCAGGAATCATCACGTCGACCGGCCATCTTTTATTTTTTTACTCAGTCCCTCCTGTTTCTCTCTTCACCTGAAGTTCATCCGTCAATCATCACGACGCTCCCTCGACTCTGCAGCCACGTTTTCATTTGAAGTCCGAGGTAGAAAAAAGAAAATCGTGTCGAGTTTCTGGATCCAGAGAAGTTTATTTATTTTATTTTTTAAAGAGAACAGGTGACTCTTCGTCCTCGTGTAGAAATATCGACTGATGAACTTCAGGCTTTTTTTTTTTTTTTTCTTTTTAGAAAAACAGATTGTTCCCATCAGTGAGTTTTAGTTTCTGCTTCTGTTCAGTTTTAGAATCAGACAAAAAAAGTCAAAGAAACAGATTTGTTTTTTACATCATGAAGAACGAACAGAGTGAAACCTGTCGAGACGCTTTAACAGAGAAACGATCAGAGAGACGAGAAATCATTCAGCTCTTATTTCATTCCCTCAAAATAATGAATATGCATCAATGTGCAGCCTCTCGTTAGTGTCATTACATACCGGTCAACATCTCTTCAAAATAAACACAAAGATGTTGGAAAAAACAAACGTGTTCTGAAGGTTTTTTCAAAACATTCAAAGATTCTTCGAACCATCAGGATTTAACTGATAATAACCTTTAAATTTGCATCACATTGTACAAATTGAGAAAGAAGATAAGTCACTGTCATTTGAAGCAGGTTAAACAAAATATTTTTCATCCAGCTGAGTAAAAAAATTCTGAGGATTTTGAAAACACCTTCAGGACAACGGTACACATTGTTACACAGGTACAGGTGTGGGTCTAAACCAACTCTGAACTATATCTATACATCTCAGCCTGAAGTGAACTCCACACGATTAAACTGAGGGAACGAAATGAGTTTCCTGAACCGACTAATAACCAACATGAGGAGATTCCCCTTGAGCCTCAGCAGGACTTTTACTTTGAAAGATGTTATTCTGACTTCTCTCCTCTGTCTGTGGCTCTGAGCTCTGATTGGTTCCTGTTGAAGACGTTAATCTTTAACACCTCACAGATAATAGTTTCATTTATAATGAGGCTGTAATTAATAAAAACATATTATTAATAGATCAGGTTCCAGATTCACACACAATCATTTTTGTATGAAACAGGATTTGTTGACAAAATGTTGTTAATCATGATGTGAGTGTTTTGACTTTGACCTTTTATCAATCAGTGGCTGTGAGTGATGTAAAAACATTGTTTTAATTATGTTAAGTAAAACATTTAAAAAGTGAAGGTTTCTTGTCTTTTGCTGTTTCTTTTTTTAAATGATGAAATGCAGCATTTGAAAGAGTTTGTCAATTTATTGACATATTTCAGTTACTTCTTTCATCCAAACAAAATAAAACGTTTAGTTAAAAATCATTTACGTTACATACACATATATTTACATTTGAGAAATAATTGATTCCTTTTCTACTGATCAACAAATTGTTTCACTCTTTGAAATAGTTTTCAAAAAATTCAACTTCATCTGCTGCTGGTGCTAAACTGTCCAACACATAATTATTCACATTCATTTTTCAGGCAAAAATCTCAGACAGATCTGAACTCATCTTCTTCAGTAGTGATTCACTGCTTTTCTTCTTCTGTGGCTATAAACTGAATGTTCAGCTCTGAACACTTGGTCGAACAAAAGGGATTTTCTGACAATAAATAAACCAAATGATTAAAAAATATATTTTCACAACTGATTTGGTGATTAGTTTCTCGATCTCTTTTGAGATCTGTTCGATGACAAAAAATAGTGAAAACAGTTTAATTTATACTTTTTGTCTGAGCAAATCAACGACCCAGAGATGCAACTTTAACATCAAACAAATAGAAAGTACTCACATTTTAGCAAATTAATTATTTAAAAAAAAGATCATCATCATAATTCTTGCTGCTTTATTATTTTTGGATTGACTAATAAATTAAAGGACTAATTATTTGAGCTCTAAGTAACTGTTATTGTCAATGTATATATATATATTGGCTGAACCATAAAATGTCAGAAAATATTGAATCATGTTGATCATTGTTTCAAAAGGAACATAAAATGTTTGTTTCAGACAAAACAACAGTTTGTAATTTAACTCCACAGTCGCAAGGACGTAGGTTTGCATATGGACAGTAGGGAGATGTCCCTACCAATATGAGTGAGCCCGTTCACACTGTGTTTAGAGTGAAGTCATATTAGATTATTCCACTACGCCTGCCAAGAGGCCTCCTCTCCAAGACAACCAATTTAGGCATGCTATCATTTGATGGGCTGAAAGGGCAGGAGCTATCTGAATGCTCACGCCATGTGAGAATAAAACAGTGGTACATCACATAACCACAAAAAATGTCAGCTGATGTTATTTAACCATGTTAGCTAGCATTAACTAGCAAGCTAAACCTGGCTTCTGTCTTTTGTGGGCTAGCAGTCAGAAAAATAACATAAAGTGGTAGGTATATATTATTATATTATATATTATATATATATTATATTATGACTTTTTATATCTTACTGTACTAAGATGTTTTTATGACTTTTTATGCCTTACTATACTATGTCATTTTTATAACTTTTTAATCCAGTACTATACTATGTCGTTTTAATGCCTTACTATACTATGACATTTTATGACTTTTTATACCTTACTATACTAAGACATATTCATGACTTTTTATGACTTATTATACTATGATGTTTTCATCCCTTACTATACTATGTCGTTTTATGACTTTTTCATGCCTAACTATGCTATGACTTTTTATACCTTACTATACTATGTCGTTTTGTGACTTTTTGTGCCTTACTATACTATGATGTTTTTAGGACTTTTTATGACTTATTATACTATGTCGTTTTTATGACTTTTTAATGCCTTACTCTACTATGACATTTTTTTGTCTTACTATACTATGTCGTTTTACGACTTTTTATGCCTTAGACATATTTAGGACTTTTTATGACTTACTATAATATGACATTTTTATGCCTTACCATACTATGTCATTTTTATAACTTTTTAATCCAGTACTATACTATGTCGTTTTTATGCTTTACTATACTATGACGTTTGTAGGACTTTTTATGACTTACTGTACTATGTCATTTTTATAACTTTTTATGGTTTGCAATACTATAACGTATTTATGACTTTTTTATGTCTTACTATACTAAGACGTTTTTATGACTTTTTATGCCTTACTATACTATGTCATTTTTATAACTTTTTAATCCAGTACTATACTAAGACATATTCATGACTTTTTATGACTTATTATACTATGTCGTTTTAATGACTTTTTAATGCCTTACTCTACTATGACATTTTTTTTGTCTTACTATACTATGTCGTTTTATGACTTTTTATGCCTCAGACGTTTTCAGGACTTTTTATAACTTACTATACTATGATGTTTTCATCCCTTACTATACTATGTCGTTTTTATGACTTTTTATGTCTTACTATACTATGATGTTTTTATCCCTTAGTATACTATGTCGTTTTCTGACTTTTTATGCCTTACTATGCTAGAACGTCTTTATGACTTACTATACTAAGACGTTTTTGTTACTTTTTTATGACTTATTATACTAAGACGTTTTTATGACTTCTCTATGCTTTACGATACTGACTTTTTTATGCCTTACTATACTAAGACATTTTTAGGACTTTTTATGCCTTACTATATTATGTTGTTTTTATGACTTTTACTATATTATGACATTTTTATGTCTTACCATACTGTCATTTTTATAAGTTTTTAATCCAGTACTATACTATGTCGTTTTTATGCCTTACTATACTATGACATTTTATGACTTTTTACGCCTTACTATACTATGATGTTTTCATCCCTTGCCATACTATGTCGTTTTGACTTTTTATGCCTCAGACGTTTTCAGGGCTTTTTATAACTTACTATACTATGATGTTTTCATCCCTTACTATACTATGTCGTTTTTATGACTTTTTATGTCTTACTATGCTAGAACGTCTTTATGACTTACTATACTATGTCGTTTTTATGCCTTACTATACTATGACATTTTATGACTTTTTACGCCTTACTATACTATGATGTTTTCATCCCTTGCCATACTATGTCGTTTTGACTTTTTAATGCCTAACTATGCTATGACTTTTTATACCTTACTATACTATGTCGTTTTTATGACTTTTTAATGCCGTACTATACTATGTCGTTTTATGACTTTTTGTGCCTTACTATACTTTGTTGTTTTTATGACTTTTTATGCCTAACTATGCTATGACTTTTTATACCTTACAATACTATGACTTTTTATGCCTAACTATGCTATGATGTTTTTATGACTTTTGTATGCCTTACTATACTAAGTTATTCTTATGACTTTTTATTCCTTACAATACTATGACTTTTTATGCCTAACTATGCTATGATGTTTTTATGACTTTTGTATGCCTTACTATACTAAGTTATTCTTATGACTTTTTATTCCTTACAATACTATGACTTTTTATGCCTAACTATGCTATGATGTTTTTATGACTTTTGTATGCCTTACTATACTAAGTTATTCTTATGACTTTTTATTCCTTACAATACTATGACTTTTTATGCCTAACTATGCTATGATGTTTTTATGACTTTTGTATGCCTTACTATACTAAGTTATTCTTATGACTTTTTATTCCTTACAATACTATGACTTTTTATGCCTAACTATGCTATGATGTTTTTATGACTTTTGTATGCCTTACTATACTAAGTTATTCTTATGACTTTTTATTCCTTACAATACTATGACTTTTTATGCCTAACTATGCTATGATGTTTTTATGACTTTTGTATGCCTTACTATACTAAGTTATTCTTATGACTTTTTATTCCTTACAATACTATGACTTTTTATGCCTAACTATGCTATGATGTTTTTATGACTTTTGTATGCCTTACTATACTAAGTTATTCTTATGACTTTTTATTCCTTACAATACTATGACTTTTTATGCCTAACTATGCTATGATGTTTTTATGACTTTTGTATGCCTTACTATACTAAGTTATTCTTATGACTTTTTATTCCTTACAATACTATGACTTTTTATGCCTAACTATGCTATGATGTTTTTATGACTTTTGTATGCCTTACTATACTAAGTTATTCTTATGACTTTTTATTCCTTACAATACTATGACTTTTTATGCCTAACTATGCTATGATGTTTTTATGACTTTTGTATGCCTTACTATACTAAGTTATTCTTATGACTTTTTATTCCTTACAATACTATGACTTTTTATGCCTAACTATGCTATGATGTTTTTATGACTTTTGTATGCCTTACTATACTAAGTTATTCTTATGACTTTTTATTCCTTACAATACTATGACTTTTTATGCCTAACTATGCTATGATGTTTTTATGACTTTTGTATGCCTTACTATACTAAGTTATTCTTATGACTTTTTATTCCTTACAATACTATGACTTTTTATGCCTAACTATGCTATGATGTTTTTATGACTTTTTTATGCCTTACTATACTAAGATGTTCTTATGACTTTTTATACCTTACAATACTATGACTTTTTATGCCTCACTATACTAAGACGTTTTCATCCCTTGCCATACTATTTTGTTTTATGACTTTTTATGTCTTAGTATTCTATTTCGTTTTTATGACCTTTTATGTCTTACTATACTATGATGTTTTCATCCCTTACTATACTATGTCGTTTTTATGACTTTTTAATGCCTTACTCTACTATGACATTTTTTTGTCTTACTATACTATGTCGTTTTCTGACTTTTTATTCCTTACTATGCTATGACGTCTTTATGACTTACTATACTAAGACATTTTTGTTACTTTTTTATGACTTATTATACTAAGACATTTTTATGACTTCTTTATGCTTTACGATACTATAACGTATTTCTGACTTTTTTATGCCTTACTATACTAAGACATTTTTAAGACATTTTATGCCTTACTATACTATGTTATGTTTTTATGACTTTTACTGTATTATGACATTTTATGCCTTACTATGCTATGACGTTTTTATGATATTTTTATGTCTTACCATTCTATGTCATTTTTATAACTTTTTAATCCCTTACTATACTATGTCATTTTTATGCCTTACTATACAATGACATTTTATGATTTTTTATACCTTACTATACTATGACATATTCATGACTTTTTAGGCCTTACTATACTATGTTGTTTTCATCCCTTGCAATACTATGTCGTTTTATGACTTT